TTTTACTTAAGCTCTCATTCTCTGTCACGTTCTCCTTTTCTCTAGTTTTCATGTTGCCTCTCATTTCTCTTATATGTCTTTTTCTATTTCTCTCCTCTCCTCTTTGTTTTTGTCAATCTCTCTTCCTTGTCATCTTTTACTCCCTATCGCCACCCTGCTTTTCTTTGCTTTTATCAGTGAGAAGTAAGAAATTCAGTTTCTGTGAAGCACTAGGCAAAAAAAAAAAAAAATCACTGTTTTGACAAGTGTTTCAAATCCAAGCTATCCTCTATTGCAATGAAGCAAATAATTGATGAAGGGCACCTTTTTGCATCCATACAGCTCCATCCACACAGATTCCTTGTGGTATGACACCGCTCAATGCCATACATCTCGGTATCATATAAACTGACATTACCGACACCAGCAACCACTTGATGGGATAAAAGCACTGCTTGCTGAATGTGTCACTTTGTTGTCAATTGGAATACAGTGATTGGTTTACTCAAGAACTTAAAATCGTGAAAGCTATAAATAAAAGCTTGAAATCGTGAAACTGGTCTCCTCTTAATATCAGTGCAGGAGTTACAGATTGTTAATCTACGACATCCGATGAGCTTCTCTCTGAGCTTTAGGGAGAATACACTTCAGTTTTGCACTAATTTATCTAAAGGCTAATTCTGGTTCATTATACTGCAACATGGATTTCGGATATTTGCAGTCTTGACTGTCATTTCTATTTCTTGTATCAGTGTGATTATTTCCTTAACTTCATAGATATGGAAACATGATAATATCTCTACCCCAAAATCCAACGGGGCAAAACTCACAAGCACTAAGACCATCAGACAGGTAGTAGAAGTCTCATTGTAAAAATAAAAACAAAAAACAAACACAGACCACTTAGATAGATAACATTTGAGAAATTTGAAATTTTGACCTGAGGATGCGGCAAGATGAAAAGCCAAAGTTCACCAAGACCATGAATGTCTGCATCAAATTACCTGGAAATCCATTAACCAGTCTTCCAGATATTTCACTTTGAACCGTGAGTATCAAAATGTTGGTGGCATTACATACAAAGTCTAAAATTTGTGTGCCAATCCATTTCGTAGATGTACCGCAAGCTTGTAGCTCCAGATAAAATGTCAGGGGACCGCCGGAGTTATTAGGTTAGTTATCGTTCATCCTCTGGGCACAATAGATATCGGTGCCAAAATTCATCACCATCCATTACATTCAGTTGTTGAAACATTTCATTAAAAAACAAAAATTTGTCAACCCCGTGGTGGTGCTAGAGGAAACATCAGACATCAGACTTTGTCGTCTTGGGACCATGAATGTCGGTTATTGTTTCTATATTTCAGTCTTGGACAAAAGCAACTGGCTGACTGAGTGAAATACATTCCAACCCAAGAACCACAGTGTGGACACGTTATCTACCACTTGATTTCAAAGTAAAAGTGATCACACCTGAAATGATAATAATATTTCATTGCACAACTATGGTAAGTATTGTCAAAGTTGAAGCATGAAGTCGGTCTGAATTTTGATGGATGTTTACAACAGACAGCTCCCAGTCAGACTTCTTTCTAGCTATGTTGTCACATCCCCAGATATCAGAACATGATGAGCATATAGTGTTATTATTACTGACAACCCATGGACACTGTGTTATCAAGTAACAGGTATCAAGTTGAATTATGCTGTAATCCCTAAAGAGCTTCTCTCACAGTTGTCTCTCGTTGACTTTGCTGGTTTATCTAGGGAATTGTGTAAGTAAGCATGTCGAAAGCTATAATGCTTGTACCAAGACCTGCAACAGAATATTTCATATATTATCAGAAATGTCCTTGATTTATTTTATGAGTTTATTTTCCATGTGTTAGTTTATTCTCTCAGATGTGTTGGACCTCCCTTAGTGTGTAGCCTATATTGTAATAATATACTGTAGCATATATGGAACACCAGATGCAAGTGAATTCATGATTATCTTCATGGGTTAATCCCATTTTCTGTATCCTGGCACACAGGATTTTGGCTCTAAGACAGATAAGAAGTGTATATATATGTGTGTGTGTGTGTGTGTGTGTGTGTGTGTGTGTGTGTGTGTGTGTGTCTTTGTGCCTGTGCGTGTGTGTGTGTGCGTGCACTGGTAGTATAGGGGGCTGTGATGATGAGGATGATGCATCCTATCCCCATTAGTGTTAGCCTAGATCTGTCAGAGCCTTGTTGGGTTACTGCCTGGCAAAATCTCAACCCTGAGGAACAATGGGATGGGCCAAACATGCACGTACACACGCGCACACACACACACACACACACACGCCCAACAGTGCCTGGAAATTCTCATCAGTACACACTTACAATCTCACAACACACTCATAAACACACTTTCATCGTTGACCCCTGTGTAACAGAAAGTCTGGTTTGTTGTCTTCACTTTATTGTTGCTTAGTTTTGATCGACATCATATTTCACACACTGAAGCTGCATTTTCAGTTGCCCCTTGTCTCACCTCTGTCAGATAATAAGAGACAACTCAGTTGCCTGACAAGTGCCTATTTCTTTTTAAAAATGGGCCAGGTTTGTTACTCTGACCCCAGCACACCAAAGACCATTAACCCAAATGACTAATTATGCAGCACTGGTCTCCTCATTACAATAGTGTTGGCCATAGTGGAGATAAATAGAAAGCAGTGTGGTGTGAACTGTGAATCAGATCAGTGGTGTTGGAAACACGGGGTGTGCTCATCGTTAATGTTACTTAACTGCATGCCCAATTTGTATTTAAACTCAAACCATTCCCTAACAATGCCTTGTTTACTCTCAGAGATTATTACCTTGTAGAACTACTTTGATGTGCCTCTTCTTTTCATTTTTAATTACTTGGTAACAACACGTAAATAAGTTGTTGTATTACCTGTCGTGCAGAGGCTGCCCTTCTAGCGCTCCCTCTGCCGTATAGCCAAATTTAAGGCTGCCCTACATTCTCCTTGTGCATGTGGAGCTGCTGTGGAGTCGGGGCTTTGACGAGAGATAGCATTTTCCCTCTGTGCTCTCCTTTATGGACTTTTAACGTTGCTTCTAATTAATATCTCTGTAATTAATTTGCCGTGACACATGACCTCCTTCCACCCATCCACCCAACCAGCCAGCCAACCAGCCAGCCAGTTAGTTTCAAGCCCTGAAGCCCCATTTAGTCTCTAAGCACCAAACTGCAGATCCGTAGACAAGGGAAAGCAATCGGACAACTCATGCGGTTTCACCGTCTTTCAGTCAAGATTTCTTTCTTTCTTTATATATTTTTTGTGTTTGTGTCTTTCTTTGTGTTTGTTGTAGGTTGGCTTTTTCTATCTTTCCCCCTGCCCTCTTCTGCCCTCCTTGTTGGTGCCAGGAGTTCAGTGCTATTATCAACAGTCAGCGTGACAGGACTGAGTGTACTTTGGTTCTCTCCGAGACTGCCCTGCTCATTCTCTGCTACCCAGAAAGCATTTCACATATTATAGTTATTTTGTCAATATTGGGTTTTGATAAAGTGGCTCGCCATTACACCCGCTCATGGTGGTGGGTTGTTGTTCAGCCTGCATTTTTGATGGGGTGGTGGTGATGATGATGATGATGATGATGATGATGATGATGATGATAGCAGCAATGTTTTTCTGCGCAACCTTGCATCCCTTGACAGTTTGTCAAGCCTGCAGTCTTTTCAGAAAGGAGAGGGAAAAAGCAAACGGCTCCCAGGGGAACGTAGGAACAATCACATAATGATGCAGTATACATTGTCTTACAATAACTTGCTACTCATAAACTGTCAAATACCTTTTTCATATAACTGAAAACTGAAATAACAAACTTAAAAATATTGAAGCAGTGGTCACAAATCTTAATATTATGATTCCAGCTTCACAAGACACAAGCTTCCTTATCCATTATAATGCTAAAAAAGTATCTTAACTTATATTTGTTCCATTATTTTAATATTGTTTTAATTCCTCACTCTATAACATGCACAGTTTGCTCATTTTTTCTTCACTTTTTTGAAATACAGTTCATCTTGCTAAAATAACAAAGTTACATCATTTTCAGCTTGTAACTTCTGCAGAAGTTAACATTATTAACTTCTGAAGAAAAGGAAAGGCAGAAAGAAAAAAAATTTTGGAAAGTTTTTGTCCTGCATCAATAAACTTAGAAATATGATTCTCAGTTATTTATTTACGTGACTTTGGACCGTATGTTTCGTCTTTTTTTCCCTCTTTTAAAGTTAGATTAAAGAAACGTCCACTCTGAATTCTTGTTAACTTGTCTTTTTCCTTGCATGCCAAATGAATCTGTTTGCTTTATCAGATGGACAAGACAGTGTGTGTTGTATTTAAGATGAGGCTTGGAAAAGTGAATGTTCACTATCATAAAAGTTCAATACATGAAATTTCAATAGCTCAAGCTGGTTGATGAAAATGGTTTATACAGAGTACCATGACTGCTGCACTTGTACGTACGCTGTGATGTCAGTGCTGAAACGATACACTGTTCAGCCCTATGTTGAGTGTTTAATACATGTTTAGCTACGTAGGACAACAAATGATGCAGCCTGTCTCAACTTTTTTAAAAAGGTAAAAATCAAATGGAGAAAGAATGATGGGATTTCCCACCATGGGTTAGTGGACAGTGACTTTGCCTTCAGTATATTTTTAAACACTTTGATGGATAACACTTAGAGGATAGTGCACACTGGCCAGAGAGCAGTAATAATTAATGAAGGTTTTTATAGAAAGCACAAGAAGCCAACAGAAGTAGTGTTGGTCATGACTCTTACGTATGTGCTCTTACTGTTGCTTTTTTATTCTCAGTTCTCTTGCTCTCATACGTCTCTGAACTTATTTTTCTTATTTGTTAGGGAGCTTGTTCCCCCCACTCCTATGCCTCTCTGAGCCTCTCTAACCCTACCTCTCTCTCTCTCTCTCTCTCTCTCTCTCTCTCTCTCTCACTCTCTCTCTCTCTCTCCCTCCCCCTCCCTCCAGGCTCAGGAAAATGTCTTCGTTGAGTTTAACCACCAGGAGCTGCTTGAGTTCTACAACAAGGTTTGTCTTTTAGTGTGTCTGTGCATGTGTGTGTGTGGTGCATACATGCATGTGTCCACTTTACTGTCACATTGTGTGTACATCTTTGTGTTTCAGTGCCTACCTTCCTTGTTGTATTTCATCCTGAATGGCAGACATTGCCTGACAAAATCCATCTACTTGCGTGTCTCCCTCATACTTAGATACATTTTGTTTGCACTTCTCTCTCCTTTTCTCTCTCTTTATGATTTTTTCTTCCTTTTCACATGAGTGTGCGCAAGTCTTTTTTCCCAAAACTCAACCTTTTCTTCTCTTTCTTCCAGCTTGAAGTCGTACAAGGCCAGTTGGATTCCTTGACTTGATGCCTGCTGCTCTATGTACGGCCCCACACACACACTCATGTTGTTAGTGTTTTTGCTGACAGCTATGCCAGCTGTTAGAAGCCTGGCAATTACATTCCCACTCTGCTTTATTAGAGAAAAATGTCAAAATTTGTAGGCAGGGGTTTCTTTCCCTTATGAGCTCCATTTAATCCAGGTTTGTGCTCAGAATTTAGAGAGGTCGGTGTGATAATTCTCACTGTGCTTTGAATTTTTATGTCTTCATCAAGATGAGATGGTGGGAAAATTACCTTTTTCAATGTAAAAAAGTGAAATTTTTCTATACCCTGCAGTGAGTAACTTAATGTTTGATTGCTCTATAAATTAGTTATAAGAAGATGTTTAAATGTGCCAATAGTCAGTGATCTGAAAAATTCATGCTTACCCAGAGAAAAAGAAAGAAAAAAGAAATGAAAAGTCAGAATCAAATTGCAATTGAATTGAAACAAATGAATTTTGTAACTTGGAGAATGAATGCCATTCTAATAAAATCTGAATCGGAGGTGAAATCCATCCAAGCTGTTGTTATTTAGTGAAGGCTCATTATTTCTCATTAAGACCAACCTGGACTGCTGGTTCAACAGATGGGAGTTCTGGGAGGCACAGCGGATCTCCAATGTATGTGTGTGTCTGTCTGTGTGTGTGTGTGTGCGCGCGCGCATGCGCGTGCGTGTGTCGCTGTCTAGATGGATGTATGAATATATCCTTGTTCATATGCATCTGTTCTTTCGTGTGTGTGCCTTAGTGTACATGTGCGTGTGTGAATATTTCCTCTCTCCCCAACTTTGAATGAAACCTTGAGAAGTTCCCAGATTCCCAGGTGCTGTTCTCTGATGCAGACTTATTAAAATCCAATGAAGCTTTGTTTTGTTTTGTTTTGTTTTGAAGTGGGCTTTATATTCCTTCTGAACTGCTTGTCAGATGCTGAGATAGCGTCACAAACCCCCCCCCACTTTTCTGATGTTTGTAAGGGTTATCTGTGTCCAACCATTACCGTTACTTTCCAAAATTGACAATCACGACATTCACACCGATTTCATGCCGTGATTGTCCAGGTATGCCAAGACGAGAAAGGAGCCATGAGCCAGGATTTTTATTTGTATATTTGTGCTGACTCTTTTCATGTGGCCTTCCAGTGTGGCCGTTCAGAATGACTTTAAACACTTCTGTTTCCAACGGAGTCGGCCAGCATGTCTAAGTGCTGAGAGACCATACACCGGCCCTTATTCTGTCATGTCAGGTTTTTTGCTTTTCTTTTTTTATCAAAATCAAGAATTTACTTTTGTAAGTGTAACATCCGATATTAGGCATTAACAGATTTTCTCAAAAAACCAATGAATTCTTTGTCTTCTTACTTGTGTGGCAACATCTGATACATGCATACATTCAATATTCAAGTTAACTTTCTTACTGTGCAGTTTCATTTACTTACGTGTTTATAGTGATCAGTGACAGCCTACTTAACCTGTACCTGCTTCCTTAGTTACTTAAACACTTGTGTCCCAAATTGCTTACCTACCAACTATTTGTCACATGACTTTTTTCAGATTATCAATAATAACATTATTTATTAGTGAACAATAACCATTGTATCTTGCGATGAATCATGGACAGAATGTTTAGATGCAAGAGAGTCATTTTTTCTGCTTCTGCTTTTTGCTGATGATATAGTTCAGTTGATCTAATTAGACATTGATTTTAACGATGCATCTGTGAGCATCCGTCTGTGAAGAAGAAGAAATGAGCATCAGCATCTCCAAGTCCGAGGCTGTGGCTCCTTGCAGGAAAATAGTGGATACGCCCCTTTGGTTCTGGAGCGAGTTGCTTCCCCATCGATAAAGTTTAAGTATCTGGATGTCTTGTCCTCATGAGAGTGGATCAACAGGTAGTTGGCTTGGTGCAGAGTTGATAGATACAGGTGCTTTGCCAACTTGTCGCGGTGTCAGTTGACCTACATTTCAAACCACACCTGTGCACTCACCTGTGGTTAATGAATCCGGCTGAAGTGAGCTTTTATTTGCTGGATGTATTGGCTCATTTTTAGGCAGAGGGTGAGAAGCTCAAACATTTGGAATGAGCTAGTTGAGGTGGTTTGTGCATCTGATCAGGATGCTTCCCATTTTGGTGGTGTTTTTGACATGTCCTAGGAGGCACATGCTTATCACAATTTAGGTATCATATATCCTATTTGGCCTGGGAACGCCAGAACAGCTTGATGTAATGGAGGCTATTTAGGCTACTTTTCCTTAAGCTACTGCCACTGCTTCACAGACCCAGGTAAGTGGTGGAGAATGGATGGATGGATCAAAGTAAATATGACAGGATACAGATCACGTGTGTAATCACGTGTAATTGAAGTCCCTAATTATTACCAAAATCCTTGATTTATGGAGCTAGAAAATTGTTCACAAACTATATTTCCATTTCAAAAGGTTGTTCCCCAGTCAGCAGTGATTGCAGAAAACGTTCTCCCATGTGGTTCTGTTGCTTTTTGTGTCTAACCTTAGTAGGTGGCAAGCTGTGTTAATGGGATAATCAGCTTGTAGAGAACGCATAAAAACATAAATACACAATAAACCAATAAACAAAACCAGTCCCACTTCCGCCTTATAAAATGGATGAATTCACAAATTAATTTACTACAGGAACCTTTCATATAGCTGCCGACAGCAGAGATGCTAAAAAGTATCCAAATGTACTGTAATACACCAAGAGAAGAGACCACCAGCAGCACTCCTTTTTTCCTCCAATAAAATGGGTGAAGGGTAACTGAGAGTAAACCATGAGTAATACTTAAATGGAGATATGGAAAGACACATAGTTACATAGACACACAAAACACACATTTGGACAAAAACATTATAAAAAACATTGATACACTCACTAAACTTGTAATACAAAATCGTAAAATTACTCATTGAGTGACTAAACTGCCCCAAAAAACAGTCTAAACCACATTTTGAACCACTTCTGTCATGAATGTTTTTTTGATTTTTTTTAAATCCAATTGACAATTTTTGCCACCATGTGAAAACGCCTGCAGCCAGAGGGAGCGCCGTGTTCCACAGCATGGAGAACAGATGGCAAGGCTGAGCAGAGATGGTCGCTTAGAAAAAAAGAAGAGAAAAAAGAGACTCACACACTGAGACTCACACTGAGATCCGGCAGAACACAGCACACAGAGTCCCAATGAGAGCGATAGGGGGAGTGTGTGTATGAGTTTGTGTATCTGTGTCTGGTGAGTTGTGTCTCTGCGTGTACTTGTCAAAGCTGTTTACATGCTCTGGTGTGTGTGATGAGGCAAACTAAGTTTGGCCAGACACCACACAAACACACACATCCAAAGCGCAGTGGTTTTTGCAGAGCGTCTGGTTGGGGGGCACTGTCTTTTTCCAGCTTTAATAAGTGTCTAATGGACTTACCTCAGTATGTGGCTGCGGTCCTACAGGGCCGACAGAGACTGGCCACAGTTGACAGACACTGAGAGCTAGGATACACAAAAACAAGCAAACAATTGAACCCACTGTTAACTACCCACAGTAATGTGGATACATGTAAAAAAACATTTGTTTTTACTCTCTCTGGACTTCCATGTTAAGTGGAAGTTCAGTACATCATGAGACTCCTCCAGGGTCATCATGAGACCATGGAGGAGTCTCTTGATGCATTGTGGATGGGGGATTTTTCGAAAGAAAGATGTATCCATGATAACGGCTGCTGTTGACCTGAACAGAAACCCAAATTAAGCAAACATAGAGAAAGTCAAAAGCAACACAAAATTGCTCTATCCTTTTAAGTTCTTGGTCACACCAGAAAAATGGCACAATGAAATTCATACAAAGCTTAGCGATGTAGTGATTTGCTGTGCGTGGGCCACCATTGGATGTGGCCAGTTTTGTTTGAGCCAAAATGGATACAACTGAGGAACCTCTATTGACATAGCTTCCTATTCAGCAGAACGGTCATATGAAATTGGATTCTTTCTCAATTTTAGCCTCTGTAGTCCACTTAGAGCTAAAGCACTGTCACAAATGTGGAAGTGGTCACCAGCACACATTTGCATGTCTGAGTTTATCCAAGTTGAACTCCATATGAAAGCACCAAACAAATTTACTTGAGCTCCGTGAGCAAAAACACCAACTGAGGCAATTCCATCGAACTAAATTGATTTCAGTCTGAATTTTTGCGTTTATAAATGCCAGTGTGACTGTAAGACCAAGAACTGTTACCAAGAATGTTTGTTAAAATGGTCTGTCTGTGCAATCCTATTCCCTCCTTATGAAATTTCTGATGGAAATACCCTGCTTTGTTGCTTGCAAACAAAAGCTAAGGAAGAAGAGATATAATTAGAGGTGGAACTCATAAATCACTTTGATGAGCCAAATCATTTTGTTAGTTCAGTTTACAGTTTTGTAGTTGCTGACTTTTTCTTAAGCTTCAGCATTGAAAGGCACTTTGTAGTACATTCAGTCTGTTTCTGATCCATTTCAGTACAAACCTATAGAAGCACTGCAAATAATGCTAATAGCACAGCAGCATATTGTTTATGACAGAGTTATCAGACTATGACTGTTTCTGTGACTTTCATAGTCTTCGAATTGGCCTTTAATGAAGAGTAACATGTATTGCAGCTGGGTTGACAACATTGCTCTCAGTCACCAGTGCTCCACTGCTAAAAGCCACTGATTTGTTCAGTGACTGTCGTGGTTCAATATATTCAGTTCAGTTTGAAGATTCGTTGTTAAAGACTTGTTTGTACATGTACTGAACACCTCTTAATTTAACTGTTATGGCGTTTCAGCGCCAACAGTGAACTCATCATACTAACAGCTTTTTTTAAACGTAGCCACGTTCATGTGAACATGCTCTCTTGCTACTGACAAAACACTGAAGTGTGCAATTGTGAGCACATTCACGAGTGCTTGTAAGGACTTCATGTGTGCAAATCAGTGTGTGTGGACTATAGACAATTGTGTGTGTGTGTGTGTGTGTGTGTGTGTGTGTGTGTGTGTGTGTGTGTGTGTGTGTGTGTGTGTGTATAGTATGTACATATGTCCACTCTCCGTCTGTGCAATCACTATGTCTGTCTTGTGCCTGTTAGACAACCACTATTTTAAAAAGTCAATGGAGACATGATCATGAGTGTCTTTTGTAAAAGATGAACAACAGCTAAGAGTCACAACAATAGTATTAAGCTGCAGAGATAGCACCAGTCTGCTTTTATGAGGAACAACCCTTCACAGCACACAAGCAAGCTATGAGCAGCTAATAAAAAGAGAACAATAACAGAGGGACAGTCACAACAAATGTGTGTTGTGTCAAGAACAATCTGTTTTGCATGCTATTGCCTCTTATGCGTGCCTGGTCATTAAAATATTTAATACTGTGCTCTCCAGCAGAAAGTGGTGCTATAATAGGACACTAGCTGAATACAAATTTGACCAAACATTAGTCAGTATTTGCAACATTTGTGAAACGGTCTCCAGTATTCAGTTTATTATAATGCACATATT